GATTATAGAGGATGATATTGGCATTACCCAAACCTAAGTTTATGATATTGCATACTATTTGACACGTTTGTATTGAAAAAATAAGCGTCAAATTGATCATGAAGCTGGTATTTATGCTGCTCAAATAGAAATGTATAGACAGAATCAGTGGATTGGGGGTGACAAAATAATGAGTTCCCTGCGTATCCTCCATACCAGTTATACGAGCATGTTGAATGGAGGAAGATTCAGAGGAAGAAGCAAATGCTGAAGCTAGTGATGATGTTTTTGATGATGATAAGGATGATGAGTAAATTTTTATTTTGATGTGATGTACTGATGTTTTTATTTTTCCTGTCGTTGTATTGTTGTATTTACTTTTTATTCTATAGTTTTGGACATCCTCTCTTGTTGATGATGTTATGGATGTACTGAATTAGTATTTATTGATGCTCTGGACTTTATGTGAACTTATCTGTTGTAATATTATAGTTCTTTTTAATGTAACTTTCATGTTAAACATGTTGAACAAAGATTCACTTACTACTACATACTTGTCTTTTCTTTTTATACTTGTCTTTTTTTTATGACAGACTCATGTGGTAGAAAGTAATCCCGTTCTATTTTCTCCTTGCTTATATTTATGTTATGATTGTTATAAATGCTAAAAAAATAAGTTGGGGGGGATAAAAATTTTTAAAAGCTTAACTTTATTTGTCCTCATTACCCTACACTTAAAATTCTTATGTTTTTAAAAGGAAGTAAAGTATTTGGTGTTAACTTTAGTTTAATTCAATTTTGATTATAGGAATGACATAGTAGATTTATTTCAAGTTCTATGTAAATAAAATTGTTCTAGAGAAGTTATCTTATAAAAAACATGTAGAAAAATTATTTTACTCTTTGTTGTATAAAAGAGTTGTATATTTGAAAAACTATAAATCCTTATATTTACATTTTATAAGAATTGAGCCTCTATTAAAAATTTATTTCAACTAATACTTTCAATTTCTTAAAAAAATTAAAAGTGAAGGAGAGTGATAAATTTTACTTTAAAGAGATGATAGTAAAATTCAGAATTATTAAAGACTTATCCAGATATAGTAATTATCTTATAGATGTGTTAAGGATTGAAAATGATCCTAAAGAAAAGAAAAAAAGACAAATATATATATATATATATATATATATACTATGAGTAAATATATATATATATATATATATATATATATATTAAGGGAGGAGAAGCTTGAGGAGAAGCCAAATTACAATTTGGTTTCGCTTGAATATTTTCAAAGCAAAAGTTTTATTACAATTTTAAACTTGATTATATTTCAAAACATTAGTCTAACCTTATAAATAGAGCACATTAATTCTATTTTCTATAATTTCTAAGGAGCCTATGTTTGATAAATATCAATGATTTTTGAAGTAGATAGAAAATTGGGATTTCAAAGTTGAATGCAGTGTTTTCTTATACTATAGATCTTGACTGATTTACTTGAATTTTTCTTAAGTTGAACTATGACATTTCTGAGTCAAAATTGTTGATAATTTTAATGAAACCCATCTCCTCAAATTAATAAAATTAATTTTTAAAAATGCTAGTGTAACTTATGGACAAGTAACATTTAAATTTTGTGGATTTTGATGTGTCTTAAAACATGCCTAATTTTCTTTATATTTTGCATTTGTTTATGGATGAAATTATACTTTAAAGAAATATATATTTGTGATTTTCTTGCAGGTATAACAAGTATGACATATGTAGCGAAGAGGGGCTGAAATGAAGCAAAGCGGAGGTGAAACGAACATATTGGAACCAACAAACTGGCGCCTAGGTGCTAGTCTTTGGGCACCAAGACGCTACACCCAAGCACCTTGGCGCCAACTTAACGCCGCCTAGGCGACATCACCTACCCAAGCAAACTGAGAGGCTAACGCCTGGGGCGAAGGCACTGACCAGTTTCTGAGCAGTTCTTTGTTGTTAAGTCAACACGACTATGGGGGTTCTGAGGTGGATTTAAGCAGTTCAAGGGAGCATCAAAAAGCATTATGAAGCCTTGGGAAGTGAAGGAAGGTAGAGGAGTTGTAGTGTAAAGTTAGGGTTTTGTATTTTCCACTTTCTTATAGAGATTGGAGAGGAATTAGAGAGAATTATGTAATGAGATATAGTCAACATTGCAAGGAGCACTTGAAAACCTTTTTGTGGAGGAATTTTCATCTCTTTTCAAAGGAAAAAATCTAAGTATTATGTTCTATATTATCTTGCACTATTTGTAAACACAATTCTAGTGGATTTGCTTTGTTTATAAGATTTTGATTTTTGGTGTTTTCTTCATGTGTTGTTAGTAGATCTTTCTTACCTCTCTTATAATGAATAAGTTGAATGTGTAGGATATTAGGATACTTATAAAATTGGTCTTTAAATATTAATGTGATGAGTATTCTTCATAACTTAATTTACTTTTCATACTGACCACATGAACTGTTAAAATTTGTCGTGATCCACCATGACTCCGTAGAGCGATGAAGGAAGGAGTAGAGTATTTACATCAAACTAATGGGTGAAGAAAGAGAAGTCCATAGGGCGATACACATACATAGAGAAACATGCTTTGATAGGTTCAAATTGGGGTTTAGGGAATTAAAATCAGTTTAACCAAATTACTTTATGCACTCAGGAGAGGGTAAAATAGATGATTGTTCCTATTTCTCACTGGCCACATTTACAATTTGAAGTATATATTTCTATACAATAACTTATATCATCACAAAGAGAGCGGTTTCCTTTATATCTTGATAATTATCGATCCAATTAAGTTAGATAGGTTTTAACATTAGAATTAATTGAAATAGAGTAGAAGTAGTTGATAGAACTTTCACATAATTACAATTCCAAACTAAGACCTAAAAAGTATTAGATGAGAACTTTTCTTACAAGATTCAGTACTTTGTTCTCTGTGGGATCAACAATCCAGACTCAACAAAGCCCGATGTTACTGAAATGATATGTAATGATATATACACTTGTGTGAGAAACCTCAACGTGCAAAACACCTAATTTTAAGAACTTAATCAAATTGTTATGGAGCGGATCAAGTTTCTAATGTTGATTCGAGGGACTTATATTATTGTGATAATAACTGGGGTGGACCAAGTATGTCTTTTGGTGAGAGCGTTTTCAACTTTGTAGTTGGTCATATGTTTTCTTTTCACTTAAGTGACATTCTCACCATTTTTCCAGGTATAAATCCAACCTCTACTCTTCCTACCTATAAATTGTTATAGGATTAGGGTCTCCTTCTTTTAACCTCAGGGCTGTCGAGGTCCCCTTGGACAACACAATTTACGGATTGCTAATATAGGGGTCTTCAGTTGTGTTGGGTCAACTACCTTCACGACCATGTATACTTGGGATTCAAATAGCTTGAAATGATGAATTTACGGTGTCCTGACTCGACCATCTCTACCCTTCCTTTGCTACCCCCTTTGAGATCTGTCGCTCCTTAACACTTCGTCAATGTCATTTCGTAGTTCCCGATTGTGGATAACCCGCAAGCCATTTGAGATACAATAATTCACACATTGCCCTTATGGCCCGATCTTGCCTTGGAAGCATAGTGCGAATGATCTAGTTATTTCATAGGCCTCGATTTCCGATGAGCCGCTACCTACTTAGGTTGTGGGAGACTTACTTTTTGCCCTATAACTTAACAAGAGCTTTGAAGACATTGAGATATTACAGTGTAATAACCATCATTTGTGACACCATCTACTGGTCGTCACTTAAATGTAAGAAAGACTACTCTAATTTAGAGTATTCTTGGAAAATCCCCAAGATGTAATTAACTAAGGGAATACATTCCCTTGGGAGTTGGTCTTGACCCCAGAACAAACATATATACTTGACTTTCTATTTGTGTGTTGGTTTCATAGGTCTACTTTGTGGATATGTTTAAGGCATCTTAAATCTGTTCTCGTTTTAGGCGTACGCTTTTGGGCTATATGCGAAGTTGAAGTTCTTCACGTTCTTTCTCTCATTTGTCTTCATTTTTGTATGTCCTTACCTTATGATTGCTCCCTTCTCCAGATCATCCATATGATCCAGAAGGTAGATTTACTCGGAAAAGAAAATCATACGACGATAGACAAACTACCGACTTTTTCAAAAATAAAAGAGAGAAGAAGAACAAAAATAATACCATTTACTTACATTTTGAACTTTATTTGAATATTTTGACCCTTGCTCAAACCTCTCTCTAGAAACTTAGGGTTTGTTTAGGGCGACTTAAGCTTTTTGTAAAATTATTTATAAAATATTTATGGGGAAATTAATTTTTTTAAAAGCTCTTATGAATATTAACGATATTTACAAAAAAATAACACTAAAGGATTAACCAAATGAAAGTTTCGTGTCAGACTTAAAAGCAAAACAATTAGAAAGTTATCCCATAGGCTTTTTATTTTGAGGCAACGGTCGAATTTGAAGTCAAACCTAATTTGAACTTTATTGAAACCTATCATTCACTTTTGAAGCATTTTAAAAACATGACTTGAACATGATTAAAACATGTTGCATAAGGTTTGAATTTAAAAAATTGAACTTCATAACATTGTTCAAAATTTGTTTTCAAATATAGAATCTTAAACTAACGGTCAAACATGCTATTAAAAATATAGTTGTCAAACGTGAATCCTCTATTTTCATTTTCAAAATAACTTTGGGAAACTTTTAATGTTCGATAAGACCATGAATACATCCTGAATTCCCGATTCAAATGAAGCGAAAATTAAGAAATTATCTTTGAAGATGAGAAGTTATAAAAGACCATGAATGAGTATCATAAATGTTTAGAAGATGCATGACACAAAATTGTTGGAGCATGGTAGACATTTAAATGTTATAGCAATTATTTATTATACTATAGTATTAATAATATATTTATGTAAAATAAATTGTTAGCCATATATATATATATATATATATATATATATATTGCTCTTTCGGGTAAATTTTGTTTTAGGGGAAAGTTACGGGTAAAATTAAAAAAAACCAAAACGTAGAGGAGGCCGGGGCGGAGACGACACTGATAGTGCTAAACCCCTCATCCATTTTTCTTTGATGCTTTCATCCGCTCAGTTTCGTTACCATGGCTAGGCCGTTCCCGCTCTATTTCTACCAGGTGCAGCTGTCGCTGGTTTCGTCTCGCTGATTTTCCAGCTAGCTTTTTGTTATAGGGTTTTCTCTACAAATCAGCATTTGCGGTAGAAATGTGCGTGTCAACTACTGACCTCTGAAATTTTTTGTTTAATTTTGCTAGGTTTGATCGCCATTGGGGGCATTCTCTTAGCACTTTAGAAACAAATTTCTATGACGTCGTAACTTTCTAATTCCAATTGATCGTTCAGCAACAAGCAGTTTGAAGAATTTCCTTCAGGTTTTCTTCCATTCTGTTGCTTTGTAATCATGGATAGTTTTACTCTACTGGTTAGATCTCGCTCGTAAGCTATGAATCATTGAAAACCAATAAATCCGCCATTGTGCCTACTACTTGAACGCATTATGGGGCTGCTGGCAATGGATTTAACCCAGGATTTACCAGGATTTAAGGGGAATCCTGGCATACGATAATTTTGGACAAAATAAATCCCTAGATGCAGTAAATCCGGATTCTACAGATTTCGATTGTAAATACCAGATTTACTAAATCCCAAGAACCGTGGATTTAACTTCGTGGGCTTGAAATTAAGTTTATACAAGATTTAGTAAATCCGTTGCAGGTCAGTTTTTCGGATTTAACCCCCCTTCAAGATTTAGTAATCTGAATTTATGGGATTTACTAAATCCTAATAACTTAAATCTCATCAGTTGCTAGACAACACCTTAACTAATGTGTCCCTATGGGTCTAGATGCACCTATGCAATATCCCACTTTTTTGTAAGACATGCAGCCCTGTAAAGAGGAAAGGGGAAGAGTCATAAAAGATTGGATCACACCATCCCAAACGACGAGAGTGATCGTAGGTCTTTATGCTCCGACATGAGACTAAACAGAAGTTAGACTGACCACTCATATATTTATCTTTGAAGCACACTAAGGCTCGAAACCATACCACAACTAAAGATAGAAAATGCGATCGTAGGTCTTTATGCTCCGACATGAGACTAAATAGAAGTTAAACTGACCACTCATATGTTTATCTTTGAAGCACACCATGGCTCGAAACCATACCACAACTAAAGATAGAAAATGATTCACTCTATGGACTAAAAAAACAAAAGTATATGTGACTCAAATGAACCATGATTTTTCCCATGCAATACATAATATCAAATAAAATGTATTTTATTAATTAGGCTTTTCATGGGAGTAAAGCCTCATGGTTAATTATATCTTGGACATTCAACTCAAGAAAACTTGATTAAGCGTGTTTATTCATTTTCCTCAAGGGTTTGACACATGATGAGTTTTCTAAGAGATCTTATTCCAATGAGAGAAAGGCTCAAGGGGCTACTCACATGAAAGATATAATATGACCAAAAACAGGAGGATAAGTACAAGCAAGCAGGGCATGCATGATAGTTGAACACATGAGTTGCCATCATCAAGTGACATAAATGTGCATGCCCGAAAATGAAGGCTTTACCCGACGATAAGAACTGAAATATTATAAGGATAATGCATTTATTGAACCTAAATAAAATGGGACTGACATACTAATTGGGTACAACTCAGGATCCAGGCTAGTGCAAACATGATAATAAGACTTATAACTTAGCCCCACCTGGGCCTAAGATTGCTTATGATTGAACTTACAATCTTGTATGAAAAGACTGCCAACTAGTCCCACTTAATCATATAAAATCATGATGTTCAATCTCTATGTAATTCACAATAGAGTAGACTATTATTTTATTAGAGAGAAATGTATGTCTTATGACTTGATTGTTAAAACCAAGTTTCTTAATTAGACTAATATGCAAATTCCTATAATTAATGTAAATAATTTTATAATTTCGAACTTACAAATTTTTATTTTTCTATTCACACTAAGTGTATTTATTTATTTATTTATTTTTAGTATCAAGTTTCAAATAGGCCGTGAAAGGGTATACAATTCTTTATGATTAATGCATGACAGATCTTAAGGCCAAGTCAAGTACGGAAGACAAATTTCACCTTATAAGGGCGGCGATCCTCTCTAGTCAGATCCGCATTGCTATGCAATGGTTGAAGACCAAAAAAAAAAATGAACATTTTATGTAATGCATGTGATTTTTGCACAATCAAAAAGTCACTTCAGAGATTCAACTCAATTTTCTTTCATGTTATTTTATATGCAATGAAATTTTAAGGTGTGAATGCAATCAGCTTATTTTTATTATTTTTTTGGGGTATGAGTTTAATTTAAAAGAATAGATTAAAATTGTTTAAATTGGATAAAAAATTTACTTAAGAGCTTATCACAAGTAATTTAGATTGAAAGCACACTGCCAAAAAAGCTAAAAAAATATGTAATTTAATCATGCACATAAAAGTAAACAATCAAATAAAACTAAATCAATAAAACACACAAACTGAACTAACAAAACCAAAAAGACCAATAGGGTCTGGTAGTGCTATACTCACCAGAAGAAAAAGAAAAGTGAGGGTGAACGGCTTCTGTCCCTTATACAGTCTGATCTAGACCTAAGACATACTGATTCATTCGCTAGGCTTCATAGGTGTTTTCAATTCATGTTTTGGTACACACAGTTCATCCATTGCTCTGAGTTCAATTGTTAAGGTTCATCCTTGCTCCGTCACCATGTTGATGTAAATCACATTCATCCATTGTCACTTTATGAATTATTTATAGTCTATGTACAATCTTATTGCATCATCAATCATCATTCTCCTTACCAAACAAAATAGGAGAACTCCACAATGATATACTTGATCTTATGAAACTCATCTCAACTAATTCCAATAAATGATTCCTTAACTTTTTCAGCATCTTAGTTGCCATTCTATAAGGTGTTTTAACAATTATTGCAGTGAAGGGATGAAATCTATTGTCACTTTTTTTTTGTTGGTAAACCAAAAAAATTGTCATGAAAAATTGGAACATGCTCATTATAAAAAAAAATTCACTTTTTTTTTGTTAGTAAACCAAAAAATTTGTCATGAAAAATTGGAACATGCTCATTATAAAAATAATAATACTTACATCGCAAATTGTATCTATGATAGTTTTTTATTTAAACAGAAAATATCAATTCATCATCTTCAATATATTTATTCTTGTTGACAGAGTTATTAAGTGATCATACTAACCACTTACACTAAAAATAAAATAATTTATCAATAGGTGAGCTAAATCATAATTCTTTTTTTTTCTAAGACTTAATGACAATATATTATTGAGCTAGTCAATCCATATTCAAAATTACATCAAATTTTATCATAGGGAGTGGTATGTCCCCAAAAAATTATCTTAATTATCTTAATCCACCATGAATCTCGATGCATATTGGGCCCGAGAGCTCTAAATATTTACCTACACTTAAATTCAAATGAAGTATTTTTGTAAGATGAACCGAATAACATCAAATATGGTCCGATCTGAGTCGAAGTGGGTATAGATCATATACTTAAAACATAATAATAAACTTTGAGATATATTTTGATGACCAAATTATCTCCAAATTTGAAAAGGTTGTAGTCAAATCGAACGTCTCTAGACAAATCCAACAAATATAAGATCACTTAATTCTGACAGAATTGAGATACTTAAATAATCATAATATATTATGCAATCAAAGAGATTACTCTGGGCCATCCGATAGAGTGGTATGAATTCGTGAAATATTTAAGGAGAATGCCACTCAGGAAATCTATAAATAAACTCCACTTTCTTCTTGAAGGGGGATTGGTTTGGGATAAGAAGGTTGAATGGTGCTCCAAGCTCTTAAGGATTCTCAAGTTCCACCACTACCAAAATACCATCGCGGGCTGCCTCCATTGCCAAAATGCCACCATTTTGTTGACTATAAGCCACCATCTCCGTGCCAGACCGCTGATGTCGGGCCACCATTGCAGGAGCACTGACATCTTGCAAGATTACCATTGTTGGACTGCAGTTGACACCATATGTCTGTCATCGCCTGACTGGGCGCCATTTCGGACCACCGTCGTGGAGCTGCCTCTCTATCATACCATCAACACCAAAACGACTACAATCCACTGCTATCACTGACAGGATGCCAATGTCAGGCTGCTGCCGCAGTGCCGATCCACCTTCATGCCATCGTCCCCACCAAACCACCTAAATCTGATAAACATCGAGCTACCATCGCCTTTGTCAGGACGCACCACCATCGTCGAGGCTGTCATCACCATTGGACCATCAACGCCTGATTAACGACAAGCCACCATTGTCGCCATCAGGTTGCCATTGCTCGGTTGTTGTCATCATGCCAGACTACTGTGGTCGGGCCACCATCGTCATTAGACCATCAACATCCAACCGATGCGCAACCACAATCGCCACTGTAAGGCCGCCATTGCCGGACAACAACTGTCATTCTGGATCACCATCACTAGGTTGCCATTGCTATAAGGCCATTGTTACTCGACTAACACGCAACCACAGTCGCCACTGTAAGGCCGCCATTGCCGGACAACAGCTGTCATTCTGGATCACCATCACTGGGCTGCCATTGCTATAAGGCCATTGTTACTCGACTAACACTAAGCAACTGCTCAGACTACTAAGCAACTGCTTAGACTAGGGGTATGCAATATCTGGTCAAAACTGAAAAACTTAATATAACTAATTAAGTTTGGTTAATTGGGTCCAGTTTCAAAAATTCATTTTGATTTTTGGTTTTTAAAACATTAATATTTGATTTTTAGTTTTTAGTTTGGTTTTACTTTTTATTTAACCGAACTAACCTAAAAATAAGAATCTATTTAAAATTTATCATTATATTTTAATTTCATCTCAAATAAGCCGTTAAAATTAAAATTATTATTATATGCAATATTTGATTGAAGTAAATATATGATTCATGGAATTTAATCAATATTATACATATAAGATTTATAATTTTGTAATGTTTGCTCATAGTCAAACTCCAATAAATAATTAATTTCGGTTTGTCCATAACCAAACCTTCTAAACTAAATTAAATTTTTGTCCATTTTTTATTTGTTTAATTCTTTTAGATTCATGATTTAGGTTGCAATCGATTTGAACAACTTGAAAACTGGCCAAATGCTCACCCCAAGCTTAGACCAATACCATTGTGCCTCCCTCGTCGCTATAATGCCAACATCATCAAAACATTACCATCATCGTTGAATCATCATATCCCGATTGTCGCTATGCCAGGTCATTATTGCTCAACATACATCAATGTTGTGGTACACTATTACCTTCATTGAATCATAAT